AAAGCATGATGGAGGATAGTTTAATGGTAAACAAGTTGGCTAATCGGCCTAAAGTGGAAGGAACTTCACCTGAAAGAGAGTTGCTAGAAAGATCCAAAGTAACCACATTATGTAGCTTCCCAATTTCTGGTGGAATGGATCCATTGAGTCGGTTGCTTCCAAGAAACAGTTCTCTAAGTTTGGTCAGATTACCCAAACTAGGAGGGATGCTTCCGCTAAGCCAACTGTTATTAAGATCAAGCCGAAGAAGATTGGGGAAGGTAGAAAAATTCATCTTTGATAATGTTTCTCCCTCATAATAATAATCATATGGAGTGCTAATCTCGATGACACTTCCATCGTGGTTGCATTTTACACCAGGCCAGCTACAATGATTTGCAGTGTTGTTGACATAGTCATCCCACCACCCACTCTCCAACAATGCCTGAGCTTCTGAATCTTGCGACTTTGCTGCTGCTAACATTATCGAGGCTACTATAAGAACAATAACCCATAAAACTGTTGCCACAACGGAAGCAGTTAGAACAGAGGATGAGGATGTCATGTTTAAGCCTATTTTGTATAATATGTTACCTCTCCTATTTGCTTGCCTTCTGAATTTAAATACAAGCTATAGCTACATTGACTTGACTAGTTGACTTTGATGTAACAGAGGTATCTATCACTTTAGGCGAGCAAATAGGAGAGGTAACATATTATACAAAATTCAAATCCGAGACTTTGTATCCATGAATGAAGATTGAAGACGTTTTTAATTGGCTATATTTTTTTGTCAGTAATTAAGCCATGAAATTGCCTATTTGGGGGACCAAAACGACTACCATAATTGGTCTTTGCATACTTATTTTAATAAGATCCATAATCCAACCTTTTGATGTAACATTCAATTTTTTTTTGGTATGGACCACCCGGTATCCGGAAATCCACTGAGTCATCGAGTAATTCGGATTCGAGCCGAGTAGAACTTAACGGGTGGCAAAACTTTCCCTCACGAGTTTTAATGAAGCTGCATTCTCAAGATTTAAAATCAAAACCTCTGGTTAAGCTGAAAGAGTTCTCTGTCAATTCATCCACCCGTTCGTGGATTGATGTAACATTCAATGACAGAAGAGAAAGAATGACTAATTTATAATGTGGGACATGACTTCTATGCCTTATTGTTAATGTTGTCTTGAATTTTGGTTAAAACTCGAGAACATTCTTGATGATTACTTAACTAGATGACTTGAAACTTTTGGTTGAGATTCTCTTCCATTATTTCCATCTTCAATTCACTTGTAATTTCTGTTACATAAAAGTCAAGCCAATAGAAAGTGGAAATTTATTCTTCTGACAAAGAAGGTTCAGAATTAGTCCAACCTATGTAAACAATCTTCCATTTTTCTCATCCCTGGTTTATGAGAAAACGTCATATGCGGAGTCCAATGCCTTCTAGTAAAACCGATGACAAGAAAGTTAGAAACAGCCATGTTATGATGAATTTCCAAAGTTTATTACATCAAACGTAGTTTCTGAGGTAATTCGGCACTTCTCATGTCACTAAAAGCGCCCTTACATTAAAAAAAGAAAAAAAAAAAAAAACTAACCATATATTTGAATTAAGGGGAGGGGAGGGGAGGGGAGAAACTAATTAAATTATAATGTTTTTTAAATATTGTAATCTGATTGATCAAAAATCATTTCTTCTCTTCTATTCCTTCAACCTAAACATATTATAAAAGAAATCAACTCCTTTACTTGTCCGTAACCTTTTTCTATTGCTTCTATATTGTCTGTAAAATTTCATTTGTCACACATTTTGAAAAAGAACCATTTTTTCGAGCCTTGGATATCAGGACTCAGGAAGGATAGAAAAGTCCAACCTCCATCTTCCATCACTCTCCCATAAATTCTGGTCAAATAAAAAATAAAAGTCATTTCGGAGCTTTACATTTTGAATTAAAGGCAAGAACAACAAATATAACCGTATAACTTGGAAGATTTTTGCATTCTTTTCTTCTTCTTTTTTTTTTCTTTTTTTAGGGGGAGGGGACAATCAACTAATTAAACAAAATGTCCTAAGCAGTATGCCACAACCACCAACAGGGATTGGATTATGTTCATCCCTAAGAAATTGCCCCTTCAGAACGAGTTTTGAGTACCTATGGGGGATTGAATTGTGACAAATGAACATTAGGGACAAAACAGAGACACCACAAAAAATTTAGCTATGCACAATAAAATTTTGCTAAGAATGCATAATTAATTTATAAAACTTGTTAATTTTATCCTAAAATTTTAAAAATTTTAAATACAAAAACAAAAATAAGAAGCCACAAAACAGAGCCAAAGTATTCCATAACTTGAGCAACTGTCCAGTAATTTTCCACAGTCCAAATTCGTAGTCTCTACGGCTTTCTTTTTCCTTTGCCCCAATTCTTTGAGTATTCCACCCATTTTACCTTAGAGATGTAGAAAATTAAGATATTACGATAAATAAAATATTAAAAATTATAATAAAAATTTTAAATA